ATTTTATGGATGAGTTTCTGATTATTATTAAAACTAGGATTTTTAAGTGAGAAAAAAAAAATAGGAAAATAAGTAATTTTTAAGTCATGAAAAATTGGAAAATAAGTTTATATAGGGTGTTTGTGTTAGGAAGTAGCAATATTTTTATAGCATGTTCTAGAGACATAGAGGATTCAAAAATATCTTATAAACATAGCCTTTCAAATGCATTGTTTTAGTGCAAGAAAGAGTTAAAGTTCAATCTAACTACCTCTTAAGATGTTGTTCTGTAACACTAAGTGCTGCAGATCTCACTATTGTTCAGTGTCTTTGCTATACTAAAGTACCAAGAAATGCAAGTGAGCCTTACATTTTTGCAAAAATGTATGGGTTACTTGTATTTGTGTGAGTTTCAACTAGATCTTCTTTATATTGCTTACTAAGAAACTTTCTCTGTTGCTGTTTGAAAAGGATTTATACTTGGAATAAAATGCTCAACATCTACAGAGACAATTGAAGTTCCCGTAAATTTCCTTGTTATGTTTGGATCAATGTTTAACACAAGTCACCTACATTGCTACTCAATATCTTGGCATAGTTCACTAACACTGTTCAGTCAGGACTTTTCAAAAAATAGGAAAGGAGCTTTTTCTTAAATTCTCCCTTGAGCATGCTTTCCAAATATTATGCTTCTTCTACTGCTTTGGTCAGACATAATTTTCTTTTCAGTTTTTTGATATACATGTGTCATATGTCCATAAATTCTTGACAATTTATCATATGTCAAGAATAGCATACTTTTGTACAATTAAATTTATGTAATAGTTTTTCAAATAGGAATAACTTTTGGTTATGTAAATTTATTTATTCATTTGCATATTTTATTTGATTCTGAGCAAGATTGGAATTAGTGTTACATATTATTATAGTGTATTGCTTTTTCTTTTTCAATATTAAGAAGCATTCGTCAACTGTTTTTCTCTCACTGTCAACATATTCTAGAAGTTCCTGTTGTTGTATCCCATATGAATATTAATATAGGAATTTCTGTAGCTAGGAATGAATAAAATGAGCAGAAAATATCAAATCTTTCCACCATCAAACCTCTGTTTTTGAACATAATTTGTTCCTAAAAATTGTTGGAAAACCAATTTGTTCTAAAACCAAAACAGATTTTTCCATAAGAAACAATATAAAATAGATTAATCTGTTTCTGTCTTCCAAAACAAAGCATTTATTTTTAAATGTGATTTAAATTTAACTGTGGTGCATATTGAAAAACAGAAGTCATATCTTTCCTGTATGTGCATTGAAATCTAATTTAAATAGCATCATCAATAATTTGTGTCATGATGTCTAATGATACTAGGCAATCTTAGTGCTACTAACTTCTGAAGTCCTGTTGTCAATTGGTTGGGCAGTCAGCTTTCTTTAACATAGAAAGTATAGGGAGTTGACCATCTGTCTCTCTCTAATCTATGGCTGGCTCTAGACTAGACAAGTAGTTTGTTCGGCAACCGAGTTATCATACAGCAACCAAGGCAAATATGAGTTTGAAATTCTGTTTGTGAAATGAATTGTTTGAAAAGTGAATCATTCAAAAACTAAGGATTGACTATACAATGAAATCCTACCATATAACAATTTATTTTCCAAATATATGAGGTGTTTGGGCATAAATAATAAGTGACATTTTCAGTGAAATTGAAAATAACTGTGCCTGAATGTTGCTTAACTGAGATGAGTTCTCTGTTGAAATAGTTTCTTAGATAAGTCAACAGGTAGCAGTGTTATATCAACTCATAAAAGTGATATGTACAAACATCTTCACATACGTAATGCTATCTATATATATAACCCATTCAACAGGTGTCCATCCGTCCCATAACCATTTGATAACGGACACTAGAGGCACCCCTATTGTGTGTCATATTTCAAACATTCAAATTAAATTAACAATTTTAATTATTATTTAAATTAACGATATAAATTATTATTATTCACTTGGCCAATAAATTATTATTTGGTCAATATAACAATATAAATAATTCAGTATATTTGTAATAGGAATTTATTATTGTCACGGAATGCATGTAATGTTCACTAGGGGGCGAATAACAAAAAACCGAATAGGTTTGAATCACTACATAAGACGATAAGATTTGAAATAGTTAAGGTAATATAAGGTAATATTTTAATATTTATTAACCCATTCAACGGGTAATGGCAATTTGTAAATAACGCCCACTAGGGGGTGTCCCAGGCTACTAGGCTATGAGAAAATGGTGCCAAGAAGAAAGTGTAGTTTGATGTTGCAGCAGCAAAAAAGCAATAAAATTTGTCAACTGCTTTTTGAAAGCCGCAAAACTGATTTTGATGATTCAGTTAAAGGTCCAGACTATGCTTAATCAATAAATTATAGTGTTCAAAAGACTCAAATAGTGATTATCAAGTAAGTAAACTTCATAACCTAAAATGTAACTTGTGCATGTAAATAGTGCTAACTTCTGCAAATAACATTGTTTAATATTATGGTTATTGGGCTGCAATTTGAAAAATTGTAGATCTATAAATTCCCACTCGTTCATCTGCCATCTGTCCATATGTCTGTCTTTCCTTAATCTCGAGAACTGTGTTAGATAAACGAAATTCAAGGCCAGATATGGAAAGCTTAGGGCATGAGGCCCAATTAACTATATATATGAACTTTCAATTAAAGAGCATTTCAGTTGGTATTACTGAAACTTTATCCAACATGAAATTTCAGTAATACCAACCGAAATGCTCTTTAATGCTGTTCATAGTGTCATACCTCATCTAACAGCTGTGCTCATGAATGATGGGCACCACATTGAACCTTTGTAAATTTGTTAAAATAAAAAAAAAATACAAATGTTCTTAGAGTAAGCTCTAGTAACAACTACACAAATTATGTAATCTTATCAAGTGCCACCTAATGGCAAGAAATGTAACTATTTTGGTACTAAAATTTTTATTACACACTAGCTGCAAGGACCCGCTTCGCTGGGTTTTTTTTATATATATAAAAGACTGTTTTTCTAAGTAATCTAGAATCTAGCTGCAAGGACCTGCTTTGCTGGGCAAAAAGTAACGATAGTGAAGATTAAGATAATTACATTATAGCTAATCTTACCCGTTTTCACAGAATGCAAGAATTAGGTCCCCCGTTTCCAGACTAATTAGAGAACTGGTCCCGATTCTATTTCTGAACGTCTCCTGTTCACGTCTAGTCAAACGAACTATTTTCAACGTTTCTGGAACGTTTACAATCGTTCTATAATCGAACCAATATTCGAATTTTATGTTCGAATTTAATTCGAACAAATTCGAACAAAACATTCGAAATAGAAAGCCACTTTCAACCACTTTCAGCCTCATATCTCCCGCACCCTTATAGCTATCGAGACGCAACCACCCCTATGCACGAATGGAGACTTGGGGCTACCACCACATACAAACACCATTCACGTGCGATGTGTAGTTTTGGCGGAAAAGTGAAATATAGGGACATACACGTCCATTTATATATATATACTAGCTGCAAGGACCCGCTTTGCTGGGTTTTTATTTGTATGTAATATAGTTTTTTTTATATATATAAAAGACTGTTTTTCTAAGTAATCTAGAATCTAGCTGCAAGGACCCGCTTCGCTGGGCAAAAAGTAACGATAGTGAAGATTAAGATAATTACATTATAGCTAATCTTACCCGTTTTCACAGAATGCAAGAATTAGGTCCCCCGTTTCCAGACTAATTAGAGAATTTTTACGTTTAGTCAAACGAACTATTTTCAACGTTTCTGGAACGTTTACAATCGTTCTATAATCGAACCAATATTCGAATTTTATGTTCGAATTTAATTCGAACAAATTCGAACAAAACATTCGAAATAGAAAGCCACTTTCAGCCTCATATCTCCCGCACCCTTATAGCTATCGAGACGCAACCACCCCTATGCACGAATGGAGACTTGGGGCTACCACCACATACAAACACCATTCACGTGCGATGTGTAGTTTTTGCAGAAAAGTGAAATATAGGGATATACATGTCCATTTTTATATATATACATATATATAGATTAAAAAAAATCCTGCTTTCTAAGCATTTCTGTGAAAACTGCATCATCTTATTGTAAATAATTTGAGTTATTAATTTTTAAAAATTTCTGTGACTTTTGAATCACCCTGTACTTTGATTTTTCCTTATTTTCATAGGATTTGGCAACTACCGCTACAAACATAGCAGTTGGCTCCTCTTCTAGACAGTGGAATAATAAATCATGCTTTGGATGCATAGAATATTTCAGGATCATTCTTTAATGCTTTGGATGCAAAGTCATTCAGGAAAACTAACTTTGAAATATGACAATGTTTGTTTACTTGATAAGTCAAAATCAACAGATGCTATCAACAGTAAACTTCAGATGCTATGTCTTGCATTGCATGCAAGACATAGCATCTGAAGTTTACTATTCGTACTTCAAATCATTGCATAGTCATGATGAGTAAAGATAACATTGTAACCATTTACCACTGTTTTATCATTTTCACACATATCTGAAGACAAAAGACTGCACTTGTTCATTTAAATGTGTTTTAATTCATGAGTAAAAAATATTTGAAAACAATCTTTTGTGGAATTGTTACTCTAAAGAAGTCATTTCCTTGAACAATGTAAAAAATTGCATATTTCACATAGTTTGATTGCATTATTTTTCTAAATATTTAGCATGTGCTGCTGTAAAATTTAGAAAATGTCACTTACTATTTTTTACACCTGGACACCAAATATATTGAATAAGAATCAATATATTTTCACAATACACTGATTTTAAATAAAACATCATATTATTTTACACTGAGGTTTATATTTATTTTCAATGTATTATTATTATTATTAATTATTTAATTTCTAATAATAAATTCTGAATTTTATACATTTATAAAATAAATTTTTATTCTGAAAACTTTTAAATAAAAATTTTGTTTTACTTTCAGTTGGTCAAAGTGCTGCTTGAAAAATGGATGAATATACAATAAGTAATTTGTTATTAACAGTAATGTAATATGTAATCCAAATGTGTATGATATTTATTAATCTAAAAATATAAATAATAAAAATAATCTGATAAAAAATTATTTAATCTATTTATAGCAAATATCTTTTGAATTGAATTTATTTATTTATTAAAAAATTTATCTAATATGATTTTTTAAACATTCATTTATTCATTTACCATATTCCCATACAAATAAGAGCTTGCTCTTATATGTGAAAATCATTTATTTTTACATTTTAAAAACATGTTTTGCTGTACAAATGTAAATTAGATATGAATGTATTGAAACAGTAACTGTTTGGTGACATCTCTGTGGTAATCATTATTAAAAATAAAAAATTTAATTTAATTTAACAATAAGTAATTTATGTAATATAGTGCTAGTTTTGTGCATATAAGAGCATTCTCTTATATGTTACAAGGCAATGTCTGTAGGACAATAAAGTCTCCACTATATAACAAATCCAAATAAAAGATTTGTTATTAAATTAGGAATTAAAATAAATTTTTATGGAAAAATAAGTAAGTGTAAAAATTTTTAAGAGTTTAATGTTATTTTTAACGTTATTAGAATTCATTAAATTATAAATAGCAAATTTAAAAAATTTAATTTGAATTACTATTGGTGTTTTAATGATGGATGAAATCAAATTCAAATTAAATTATATTCAATTTAGAATTTTTTATAAAAAAATAAATAAATATAAATTGTTGACAACTAGAAAAAAATTATTTATTATTTCTAAATATTGATTAAAAAACACTGTAATATACATATTGATAGAAATAATGATTGTTTTTTTTTAAAATATATATATATAATGTAAATTATCTTTATAAATTTAAATTCATCAAAGACAGTGATAGAATTTTCTACATTTATGTAAATTTAAATGATTGTATACTCAAACTGTGTGTATACACTACATTTATAACATACACGTATGATTGTATATTCATACAATGTATTTATTATTGTTTTTGAGTATTCTTAGACTTACTGAAAGTTTGACAATTAAACAAATTTAGCACAGATACAGATGCAAAATGTCTTGTTTATATTCTTCCTTTTGTTGTGTAAAACAAAAAGCTGATTATTGCAATAGATCCTCAAGCTTTGCAGTTGGTGGGCCAAATTGCACATAGTTAAGTTGTAGAATAGATAGGCCACAAATATTTTGTATATTCTATGAATAGAAATGCATCTATTTTTGTATTCTATCATTTCTAATGATACTCAAATATGTTTGCAGGCTGGATTTGGTCCAGGGGCTTTAATTTAGGCACCACTGATTTAGCTAGTCAAAATATAAAATTGTCACATCTGATCCATTGGTTAGGAAGTGTTATTCAGAGATTTGATTTTGCCCCACTGTGGTGGAATGCCAGCTTGTTAATAGATTGTAGCAAATTGCCATTGTTGTAATTGAAGAGATTCTCTGCATGTTGAGAAAACTTCAATATGACCATTGATGCAATAAAGAAAAAGATTTGATCACATTATCACAAAGTAAGCCATCTGTACAATGAAACTGTCTTTGATACATTATTCTGTAGTATGCATGTTTCTGATCCCAAATTCTTAGTTCACTATCCTTGAAATGTGCAACTGCTGTTTCTTCATAGAATTTATTGTTTCTGTTCACTCTATCAACACAATAAATAAATTCCTCTTAGAAATCTATTCATATAATGAAACTATGATTTGTGAATGAAACTAGACAAACATTATAAAATTGAATGCACTGTTCAACTCAAATGACAAAAAAAATGAGATGAAATTTGACTCTAACATCAGTTTTTAATACCACAATAAGTTTTTGAATTTTACTTTTATACCCTGTATAAGATTTTTGTTAAAGTAAAATTGATCAAGTTTTTAATTAATTTGTTTAATGTTCATATAACTATTAATATAAAATCTGTTATTGATATATGAAATAGAATATTCTGGAAATTTTATTTTTTATATATTCAGTCTTGAAAAAACTTGAAAAAGTTTCTAATTTTATTAAATTTTTTTTTCAAAAAGTTTTACTGGTTATGTGTGAGATTTATGTTTACATTTGTTTTAATTTTATGTGTTCTAGAGAAATATCTTATTCTTAGGTCTTCCTGTGCCAAGTGGTGTAGGAACTACTGAAATATATCCTTTAATATTTTTGTTATATGCAGAGCAGTGTTTTTCAAACTTCTAACAAATTGCATCCCCAGTGTAATAATTTTTTTCTTGAAGCACCTCGATTTTTTTATCAATGTAGAGTTATTGTACTTCAAACAAAAGGCCCTGTTCAAGCACATCAACCTCACGTTGGTAAGAAGAGGTTTACTTCTAGGTGGAAGACGAATACAAAAAATGACATGGATAACACACTGTTCCTTTTACAATCCATCAGGAACTTGAATCAAGCTCTGTATAATACTGTATAATGTGTTAGGCCTTAGTTAGGCCTAACACATTATACAGTATATTTTAGCTTGCATTGCTAAACAGTAAATAACAATACACCACACTGGGAAATACGTAATGACGAACACAGAACAGTGGTTATTGTACTTTTTGTAATTTTAATAATACACATAAGAAATGTTATGTCACTGCTCAGCACTATATTTTGTGGCATGCCTGAAGTGTTATTGCAGAATCCTAGTGTGTCACAGCATTCTGGTTGAAATCACTGATGTAGCATAGTGAAATTGGATTACTATATCAAGGGCATAACTATCATAATAAGCTAATGCACTGCAAATGCAGATGTGTTGTCTTAATATAATAGTTTAGATTCTACTTCGTGTAAGGTAATGTAAAAATATCAAAACAATTTGTAAAATTTTATATTGAAATACAAACAGCAGCATATCCCATTTGTTGTTAACTCTTCATATAACATTGTTATAAATTTTGTAAGAAAATTAATGCTTATATTTACTGAAGTTTTAAATTTGTCTTTATTTATTAAAAACTAGCTGCAAGGACCTGCTTCGCTGGGTTTTTATTTGTTCGTACATTTGTATGTAATATAGTTTTTTTTTTATATATATATAAAAGACTGTTTTTCTAAGTAATCTAGAATGTAGCTGCAAGGACCCGTTTCGCTGGGTTTTTAAAAAGTAACGATAGTGAAGATTAAGATAATTACATTATAGCCAATCTTACCCGTTTTCACAGAATGCAAAAATTAGGTCCCCCGTTTCCAGACTAATTAGAGACCTGGTCTCGATTCTATTTCTGAAACGTCTCCTGTTCACGTCCAGCCAAACGAACTATTTTCAACATTTTTGGAACATTTAGAATCGTTCTATAATCGAACCAATATTCAAATTTTATGGTTGAATTAAATTCGAACAAATTTCAACATAAAATTCGAAATAGAGAACCACTTTCAAGCCCATATCTCCCGCACCCTTATAGCTATCGAGACGCAACCACCATAGTGCACGAATGGAGACTTGGGGCTACTACCACATACAAACACCATTCATGTGCAATGTATAGTTTTGGCGGAAAAGTGAAATATAGGGACACACATGTCCATTTTTACATATATATATAGATAATTTTAAAATTAAGAATAAATGAAATTTAGAAATTTCATTCATAGTAATAATCAGCAGTGGATCATTTTGGGGACTTGAAGCTAATAGTAATTTAGGGCTGTTCAGAAAAAGTCTTATGCTAGATAATGGTAAATTTTACAAATATGTAATGCTTATTATAGAAATTTAAAAACTAAACAGAATTGAAAAAAAAAAAAACAGTTGGTAATCTTAACTATGCTATTTGGGCTACAATTTGAAAAAAATTGATTTATAAATTCTTGCTATCATCTGTCTCTGTTCTTCCATAATCTCAAGAATGGAGTTAGATAGACAAAAGTTTGAGACCAGATATGGAAGCCTAGGGGCAAGAGGCTCCGATTACCTATACACAAACTTCCAGTTTGCAGCAGAAGTCACATTGTTTTAATTAAAAAATTTTTCCCTTTAAGGAGTTGGATAGATGACTGGCACAACTCTAGTGCTAGCAGGAAAAGTATGATGTACAGTACAAGGACAAGATACTACTAAATTGAGGTGGAGAGCATATAATTTAATAAATTAAATAAATTAAAAATATGATTAAAACTTGCAGCTCAGCACTGTGACAAACAAACAGTTATTTATTGTGACATTAAGTTGAGTTTTTTTGACATGGGCCTGTGGGACCTTGATGGGGTAGCCAATTCTTCCAGACTCATCAGAATATGCTGAAATTGGTAAAAAATTTTAAATTCTCTGACTTCTAAAGTGAGGGCTATTTCCCTATTTACTTAACAAGATGATCAACTTTTGGTTATATGTTAAAACAGACTAAAGACTAAGTGACAGCATTTTGATATTGTTAAGAGTAAAAAAACTCCCAGAATCAATTCGTTGGAGTTGGCAAGACCTAGAGCTATGACCCCATTTGCCCATATTATAGTCTGCTATCAGTAATAATTATAATATAGATTGTAGATGAAAATTCAAATTTACACTAAGAATAAACATTAATACAAAATTATTTATTCAATTAAAACAATACAATATAAATTTCATTGTTATCTTTGGACATATATCACATTTGATATTATTTTAATCAAATATTTTTAAAGAGTAAAATATGTATGCAAAATATTACATTAATTTTATTGAACAAAAGTTGTTTGATATTTTATCACAATTAACTGTAAAGTTAATTGTGGACAAAAATGTTATGATAATTGTACACATACATACAGTTTAATATTAATAGAATTTATATGAACAAAGTTTAAAACATATACAGTCAAACTTCTGTAATTCAAACTTGATTAATTCAAATTTTTGAATAATTCGAAGCTGCAGTAGCTTAGTTCACATTGACTGAAAAGCCAAAAATGAATGCCAAACTGGTCTGGACTGCAAAAAGCAATTTTGAATTTTGAGCAGCTGTTCATTTACAAGCAAGAAATAAATGTCATTAGTAAAAATAAAAATACTTCTGATATTCTTTTTTTTTTAAACCACTGTTGCATATTTGTTACAAAAAACAAAGGATAAGTTAAAAATAAAACATTG